TTTTTAATGTCTTGCTTTAAATTTCTTGCTCTTGATGTACTTTATAATTTTGACTGATTTATATATAATTCCCTATGTCAAAAAAATTGAGTCATATCCTTTTCATGTGTAAATGCATTGATTACGAGTAATGTTACTTTAACCAAATCTACTAGCCTATGTGCTAATAAACTCAACTGTTATCATGAGTTCTCAATTCAATCTATTGGACAATAAATGAGGTCAAAGTGGCATTATTGATTGACTACTTTTAATGCTTGACTAAAAGTAATGTTAATTTGACCAAATTTATTGGCCAACCATGATGATTAAATTAATGGGTATTGTGGGTCACCAATTCAATCCAATGGAGTAGTGTATTTGGGCATCAAATTTGGAGAATAAATATGGTCTAAGTAGCATTAGTGATAGATTAGATGCCTTCATAAAAAGAAGTTGTTCCAAAAATGGTCTATAATTTCAAGACAAAAGGAGTAAAAGTTTATTTAATAGTACAATATTATACTTTGGGCATTCATAGGCATATACAAATCGCCCTTGTGTTTTTCCGTTGTTGAGTTGACATTATATATCATTGATTGCCTAAACTTGTAATCTTCGTAAGTTTTATCAACACTGAAGTTGTAATTTAGTGCATAAAATTTACTACAAGATCTACAAATGTTGTTTGGTTTCGTAAAAATCATGACTAATGGTATCGAGTGTTTTTGCAACGTCTAATGGGTGTTAGGTGAGGAGGTCATGAAGTTTTTCAAATCATTAGCAAGCCACTAAAATTAAATGATACAAATTTTTAAATCCTTTTTAATATCAACTAGTCATACTTTGGCGAATTTTAGATATGTAGAAACACTATATATTTATTATCAGAACAATAACAACATAAAACTAATAGTGAAAATTTTTAAAAATTCAAAAGTGACTCAACTTGATTGTACATTCCTAATAATTGATCACATTCCCATATGTTTTTTCTCCCTTTACATGAAATTTTTTCAAAAATAACTAAAAATAATAATCTTTGAGAAAATTTTACTCCATCCTTCAAAACTTCAAAAGTTAGATTGTTACTACTCATATATACTTCTACTCAAGTAAATCATGTTTACATGTGCAAATCTTGTCAATTTCGATCGTCAAACATAAAGAGAAGTAAGCAAAGTCCTAAAAATGCCCAAGAGCAATAAATGCACACAACATAATGTAGACCCAAAATCCTTTGGCAACACAAAACATGTTTTGTGCATTATTTTTTAGTATCACCTGTTGTGATAGCCAACGTAACAAGTTGTTACACAACTTTCATGACCAATTTGGCTGTAAAATCGAGCCCCCTGATTAATTGAGTCATGGCCAAAATGGTGGGCTAAATTAAACTACGCAATGGCCGTCACTTCAAATGCTATTTTTTTTTACCCAAGAAGTAAAAATTTCATTAACCGAAATAAGCTATCCATATGTTCCACGGATACTTAAAAAAAATACAATGTCAAACAAGGCCAAGGAAGTGTAAAATGGGATGATAGATCATATGTTCATATAGTTCAGATGATCTATAATCCCAAAAAAATGTCACAATGACCATATCTATGATATACAAACAAGCCCAAAGGCATTACAATAAGGACTAGCACAAAGGCTGAGAAGGAAATATATCTGTCAATCCAGCTTTCAACAGTAGCAATATGGAACAACATCAACAACATGCGACATACAAATGCTACTTTACTAGTACCAAAACCAACTATTAGTTCATGTTTAATATAAATTAGATGGTCAAAACTCATCCATGTGCTGATTTTTGAGTTAAAAATATTTTCAATTTACTAAGGTTTGTATATTGAAAATACGCTTGGGCTAAGTAATCACAACATGAATTGCATTTTTACATTCATTCAAGTGCTTTTGTTCGCTATGACAAACCATAATTCTAAAATTACATCAAGGTACCCCAAAATTCATTATGATTTTCATACTAGTCATGCAACTGTACACTATTATCTCCACATTCAAGGTTGATGTTATTGTTCTCTGGTAAGAATAATATCGTTGAGAACGCGGATTTCGCACAACTCAAATATCAATATTACAAAAAAGTTTAAAAAAATGCACTAAGTTTCATAAAGAAATTTAGTTAAACATTGATAGTGACTATTATGTACTTTTCATGCACAAAATCAATGATTCTGTCTTTCTTTATACCTTGAGAATAAATTAGCCCCATCCAAAAAAAGCTTGAATATAGGAGTAATTTGTGCAACACAAATAGATGATTAGCTGAACAATGCTCCTCCAACTTATACATTTGCTCATCCCATTTTGTAAACATGTTTTAAAATTTTATGTGTTGGTTATCATCTCAATGTTATGTTTTGTCAAAATTTGTAAGAAAAAAAATGGTAAGAAAATGACATCATTTTCAGCATAAAGTCATGCAAGCGGAAATTAGCTTATCTTCTTTGTTAATAAAAGAGAAAATAACACTTTTTCCTCTAAGAACTATAAAATTTTCACATTACACTTTGTCCTCTAAGAAATCTAAAATTTTAACATTATCTAGAATAGATCAAAACTCTAATATTGCGTATTAAACTTTTCAAAAGTGTATCGATGTACCCCCAATTATTAGATGACGTACTATTTTTTGATTGTAGTCATCCCAAATAATACGCATGATGTATAGTTATTATTGGATAAAATGCAACTTCTGAACAATTTCATGGTCTAAATTGCTGTTATAATATTTTTACAAATGAAAAACTTAACACCTTCTAGTTGTCAGGAGACATTTTGCATCAAGTCAATCAAAAATTAAGAGATGTGTGAGTTTTAACCATCTAATTAATTGTAGAAAGAAAACTTTCTAAGTTGATTTGGAATTTTTGCATAATTTAGTGTCTTTTACATTTTACCAACATTAATAATTGTTTGAGGCATCAGGAAAACAGCTTTTTATGTAATGGCCAATCCTGAGTTTCTCGGCAGTTACGGTCATGTAAGGGCAAGTTATAAAAAAAAGGGGCAAGTTATGACTGTTACATGGCCATAGAGACACTCAAAAGTAACGGCAGATAAATGTATTAATAGGGTTGAGTTGTTATGAAATTGTTACTTTTCATGCACAACTTTTTTCTTCAGCTTTTTGACAATTTTTTCCACTTTTCCTCTTCATTTCAAGAAAAGATCTTCATGGGTTAACAAGATTTAACTTGATTTAGAGTATATCTATGGATGGTCTTCCATTTCTCTAAAGTTTGGTCAGTTGAGGTTGAATTTTCTCCAAGTTTTACGGTATGTGTGCAAATTTGCTACATAATCTTTTATTTATTGAATGACATGACAAACAAGGGATTTTGATAAGCTATTAGGATTGTGAATGCATTTTTGTTATTTGTTAATCTTATGGTTTTATTTTAAATTGTCTAAATATTGTGTTTATAAATGTTAACAGAAATAATGACATTACCTTGGCTAACATTTGTGGCTTGTTCGTGGTTGTTAGTAGTTTTGTTGTTCTTAGTGTTTGTTTTTTAAAATCTTTTGTTCTTAATATTTTTGTTTTTAACATTATGGTGTTAAACTTATTCTAGTACTTTTCGTTAAGAAATTTCTGTAAGGAAAATTCAAGTCAAGAAATTTCTGAATTTTTTCTTGGCTTGAATTTTCCTTGTCATTATATTATGAGATTAAGAGAGTGAAAACTAGTGTATCATTGATTTTAAGATGCATCACCTGATCTGTTTTATACCTTGACCAAAACTGTTTGATACCATTACCCAAGACTATTACGATTGTGAAACACAATAAAATCGTGTGAAATGTTGTACATTTATATTAATATCAACTTTGGTCTTGTTAAAATTTTTCAAGATTATAGATTTAGGCAACCATTGTTGTATGACAAGAGTCTCATAACTGAAAAAAAGATGTGCACTAGTAGAGGCTTTAGAATAGTTAGGGGGGGGGGGGGGGAGGAAGGTGCAAAGGGAGGGGTAAGAGCCATGGCTCCAAACTAGCAATTTCCCTAGGCAAAAAGTACGAAATCCCTTACTAAACTTTGCTTACCTAATAAATGTGGATTATTGGATAGTAGATATCATTAACTTCTTTGGGTAGGAGTTAATAATCCAAAATTTTGTAAGGCTTTTGATATCTGAGTTCACACATTTCATTCGAGTTTGAGTTGGGTGCTAAAAAACTGAGGAACAATACTATAGGGACCTGATATAATCTATTTCAATGTAGTCATTAGATAGTTTGTATATGTTCCAATGTTATATAGAGTCTAATTTTCAATTTAATATTTGTAATTGATTAAGCCTCTAAATTAGATTTAAATAGCATTTTCCAAAATCAAGACTCCCAACCAAAGTTAAATTTGGTAGTGATATTTTTGTCCCATTTCAATCTAGAAATTTAAACTCACTGCTCAAGTAAGTGAAAATCTATCACCGAGTGGGGTGGTCCAGTGGGGTACCGATCAAATTTTTTATCCTGAGGTTAGAGATTTGATTCTTGGAATTTATATTGGAACTCGATAGTTAACTACTATACTAGATTAGCTAGATTCGTTTCCTAAACGAGTAACGAGTGCAGTCAATGACCTATTAAAGTGGTATTTAGGCGCTCTTTTTGCCTTCATCTATTTTTTTCAAAAAAAAAAAAGTGAAAATCTAAAGTTTTGGTTTGACTTGCGCTTCCCAAAGTGTACCCCTTCCTCTTCCTCAAATTTTAATTTTTTTATTTGCCTCCACTCCCACCCCCACGAAACCCAACAAAAAAAAAATTCTAATGATGTAGTTTGACTTCTTTCACTATAGGAGGGAATAAAAGATACATGAAGTTTGATTCAAGAAGGAGAACAACAAAACCAATGCAATGCAATTTTTTGAACTGAAAATCAAATGCAATTAAATAAATAGACTTATGGCAAACACCACCCTCCAGCCGTCTTATAAAATACAAAGAAGCAAATCTCCATCATTGTCTTTTTTGCAAGCTTAGAAAATGACTTGAAGGTTATCAACCACATTCTTGTCCACCTGAAATGCTTTGGCGAGCATATCAGCTGGCAAAGGCGGGTTTGATCCAAAAACAACATTAGTCACAGTAATGACACCAGGATTCTGGCTGCTCAAACCAGAGATCGAAACGGCACTTCCATACCCCACGTTTCTTTGGTAGTGAACAAGGCCAATCGGAAAGATAAACACATCACCCTTTTGAAGAACTTTTGAAATGAATCGGTTCTCAGGGTTGGAGGTCACAAAGCCAACTTCAAGTGTCCCTTCTAGGACTGTCAAGATCTCTGTGGCACGTGGATGCATGTGGGGAGGGAGAACACCGCATTCTGCATAGTCAATCCGAGCCAGAGAGATACCAAGGTGTTCAATCCCGGTATTTGAGCCACATTGACTGGAGTAACCACAGAGCCAAACCGATTGGATGTATTGCCAGCTACGTGAAGCCCACTGAAGGAAAAATGTGCAGGCTGCACAAATTTTGGGTCCATGCAAGCACGACCATTAACGAGGACTGTCGACATGCAGAAAATTTAGTCAAGGGACGAAAACTAATCGGGGTATAATAAAAAAGAATCAACAAAAAATTATGAATAAAGTAAAAGTCTTGTATTTGAACCTGGACTTGTAGTGTCTGCAACGCAGAAATCTTGCGAGGGACTGGGCTCAAAAGCCATGCGATAGCACAAGAGAGAGTTACCAAACTTAAAATCATAATAAGATTTGCCATCTTGATTATGAAAAAGAAGGTGGGGAAAGCAAAAGTATAATGTAAAGATTTGGAGTTGTGAAACAAATAGATCACAAGCTTTCTATAAATAGGATGAGAAGGAGGAGGGAAGAAGAGGTCTCTTCAATAAGATATGTTGCCGTCTGAAATTTCAAATATATGTTGAAAAGGTCACAAATATATCTAGATGTACTGTGCGACGATTGCATGAGAAAGGGCCTTCCATATGGTTTTTTTAATCTTTTAATGATAAAAAATCGTTGGACCAACATGGCTTTGGAAGTGAGTGGATCATGTCGTGTACAATTTGTGTTGTGTATAAGTTATGCTATGTTATAATTGTTTAAATCATATCTCACTAGTTCATGCCATGTTTAGAAAAATTCACATTGACTCATATATTTGACAAATTTAACATGTTCATTCATCACTCTAACCCACTAAAATTAAACACAATTTACTAATTTTGTATTGATTATTTTATGTTAAATTTATAAATAGACGATAAGTGCCGAACAATCCTAAGAAGTTAAATATGAATCCAAATGATAAATGTTGTGACAAATGCCAAAAATTTATTAATTGGCTTAAATGGCCCGTACACGTTGGTGATGAACCACTCTGGTTGATGGAAAGAAAAAAGGAAAAAGAAATCTACTAGGGCCAGAAATTAAATAAATAAATAAATATCTATATAATAAAGTAGAATGAATTTGAATTTTGGAGACAAAGAGTAGTTTAAATCGTTTCATGACAAAAAAAAATCATTTAACGGACGACGTTATCTCAAACTGTCTCGAGTTATTGACGTCTCAAATCGTTTTAATCCGACTTATCACTTTAACTCTTTGAAATATTTTTGCTGCTCAAAATTTATAATTTCCAAAATTGATATTCCAAAATTTAATTCTCTCAAATCTTTTTCTTAAATCAAGTAAATCTCTCTCTCTCTCTCATTCATCTGTATCTCTCTCTCTCTCACGCTCAATACACACAAAAAAGTATTAATTTTTCACAATATTTTCCTCTATATCTCACAAACATATCACGAAAATATTTGATAGTGCCTAATTCAAGAAATACTGCATCTCTCTATAGATGGATACTATATATCGCAAGAGATAATATATTACAAAAATATTCTTCTGTATCTCTCTAAAGGAAAATTATATAATAAATATTAGATAGATAGTATATATCACGAAAATATTCATTTATATCTCTCTCTTTCATTCAAATAATATTACAAATAGGACTCATACAAATTCAATAGTCAATTTTTTTTTTCATAATCATTAAAAAAAAATAACTTGCAAAAAATTTAAATTAACAAAGAAAATATGTTTAATATATAAAATATACAAGATTAAATTCAATGTATTGAGTAACTCAGATATCAAGAGATATATTAAAGAAAATATGCTTAACATTTAAAATATACAAAATTAAATTCATATACAAACACAAATCATACAAATTCAATATTTAGTGAACAACACAAAACAACAATATTTACTAAATAATTCAAATCTAAATACCCCGAGAAAAATGATACAAAATTATAAGCGAGAGAAACGATACAAAATTATAAGCAATACTATGAACATGAATCATACAAATTTAATATTTAGTGAACAACACGAAGTAACAATCTTTACTAAATAATTCAATACTGAATAACGTTTAGTTTAAGAAAATATACTAACAATATAAATAACCGAGAAGAATGATATAAAATTAAAAGCACTACTATAAACTCGAATCATACAAATTCAATAGTCAGGTCGTATCTTTTGGAAGTCGGTTGAATTTCTAATAGTTATATTTGATCATTTGACAACATCTGTAAACTTAGTTTATTGGTGGGAGTATTGTTATAATTTTCATTCTATTAGTTATGAATTCTGTTATTATTTAGATAAAATTCATTATGAATGTTAAAATCGTGGATTTTGAATCAAAAATAGAACATTGAATATTGTCAACTGATATATTTTTTCAAATGTTTGAATTATTATGTTTCAGTAGTTATAACATAATTTTCTTGACATAATAATTTAATGTGAAAATATATGTTATGTATGTAGGTTGATGTTATAAAAAATATTAGCGAACTTATTTTGTTCGTCGTTTACTACAATTTTATATTTTACTTTATATTTATGTATGAACAAATATTTGTAACTAATTTACGAGTAACATTATATCTTCAAGCACGGACAATTATTAATATATATATATAAGGAGAAGACTATATTTTATTATATCTTTATATTCTATGTATCTACGAGTAAGGAGAAGTCCCCATTCTACTCATTCTATGCAACACTTGTCATCTCCGAGATTTTCAGTCTTGCTGACCTCAACTTTGATGTCGCCAAGTGGATGGCAGCCACTGTGCTGCTCCAAAATTGGATGATATATACTAGTAGTTATAATTCACATTTTTAAAAAATTTTAATTTTATTACTTGAGAAGTTAATATAAATAATTATATTTAAATTTTTGGGTGATAAAAGTGATTTTTTTGCAATATTTTAAACAATAATACTTAGTTATTGAAGACACATGACTTCTCAAGTATAGAAAGATACCAATAATTATAAAAAGTAACCAACGACACATGTCCCTTAACAAACCAACATTTATTTAAGCAAAATATTACCTAAGTTATTGCAATTCTTTAGCGAACTTCCCAATTGACAAGGTGAGAGGAGAGGAATGATAAGAAAGTAAAATAAAAAGAACATGACATGTTGTGGATTGCACGAGTTTGGGCTGCAAGTATATACATATATGTGAACTACATCCCTCACGTCCAAACATGATATAGGCAAGGATACTATGAAAATATGATATTATTGAATGATTAGAGATTTGTTCGAATGGTCAAATCTCTAATCATTCACATAATGGAAGCAAACCCCCTAATTACAACAAATTTACCAAAAAAGAAAAATATCAAAGCTCATTACAAAACATTGAGTCGTGGTTGTTTGTCCGATTTATATCAAACGACACGGATCCATCTTGTCCGACCCATTTTACCTCTATATGACTTTACAGTGTTTTATTGGACTTTGAATACAAAAAGGTCCTCCTACTCTAAATAATCTGTTGCCACTTATTCTACACCAGTACGGTACTAATTCTTTCATCATAAATTATCTCTCAATTACTACTTTTGATTCTTTTTCCAAGTGTTTAGTTGAGAATCATCCATTTGTATTAATTTGAATACGAAAACAGATGAGTTATATATTTAGAGTATAAATTCTCGTTCGTAGGTGGAATGAATTCTAAAAATTATCTAGTTTTCCAATTATTGAATTGCATTTTCATTACTAGTTAATCTCCAAACTCTCAACTATAAAGAACTTTTTCCTTTTATTTTTCATCACCTTGGATTCCAAATCATTCCCTGAGGAGATGACCATGGATTTCTTGTTCGAGTTACTACACAATAGTTTTCTATTACATTTGATAGCTTTTCATGAAAATACAACAAAATGTTGTTGCATAAGAATTATGTCGGAATAACTTGATTCTGTTGGCTTGTCATCTTGAATTTGAAGATGACAACTTGTAGTTGTGAAGAAAAAAAAAGGAGCAGAAGTGAAGAAGAAAGCTTGGTTTTAAGAGGCAGAGTATATACCTCTGACACAAACATCTCCTGGTCAGAGTCTCCCTGAATATACAAACTTTCCTCAGCCACCACTTCTTTTTTCCAAAAGGATGCTGAAGAAAATCATTCTAAGGCCAATCTAAAGATCAAAATAATAAGACAAAAAATGGCCGCCAAATGCACCGAAAAGCCGAATGTAGTGTCTTCTTTCAACTTCAACAAGTGCATGCTGTCAACCCATGTTGTCATACCCCCAAGACAAGCATCAACAAAATGATCCAAAGATGGAGGTAAAAACAGGTATCCATCCAAAGGAGGAACATGAAGTAAATTGGTAAAGCCAATTGCGGATATGAAGGGGAAAATACAGAGTAAAGGCTTTGGTTAAGACCGAAGGAGAAAAGAAGTTGAAACTAACAAAGTCATCTTTCATTTTTCTCTTTTCTAGATTAGGAGGTTCAGAAAAAATAGCAATGTTGCACCAGAAAGAAGGTATTCTTGAAAACATCTGCTTTACTCCAAAAAAATCTTACTCTAGAAAAAAGCTAATTACTTCAGGATTATTTATAGGCCATAGGAGAGTCGAATGCTTTAATGGCCTTTACCTCAGATACAGTCAACATTTATTATAGTTTAATGAGAAGAATGAAGCATCATGCAGATCAGACGATGACAACGTGATGTAAGTGGCAATTAATGCCACTTAGTTTGTAGTCATGTCAACCGTCACAAAGGAAATGAAAAAACAAATATAAGTGAAGAAGGAAAAGGCAAAAATGTCTATCTTTATTCATTTATCATATATCTAGAAACTGTACAAGATTGAAAAAATTGAACTTCTAATTGGTATAATGACCTATTTATGGCTTATTAACTCGACCAAAACTGACTCGGCAGGGGCTGAGCCACATCTATATAGGTCATGGCATCCACCATAGCAACCTTAAGTTCTTCAAAACGCTCCCAAGGACACGGATGTCTCCAAGAACGCTGCACATTGTGTTTGTAGCTCAGCGATCTTGTAGTCTATTGTAGTCAGTCTCCAAGGAAGACAATCAAAGCGGCTTGAACGACTAGAGCAAATTTAGATTTGCAGATTCAAGTTGACTGCTTGCTCCTTAGAGTGGTATCAAATTAACAAGGAATTCCTAAGCGTTGGAAGGGATATCCTGTTTATAACTCGGTTGATCACCAAGGACGTCTCTTGAGGGAAAATGGTTGGCTCAAAGGGTGTTAGGCAAAAGAAAATAAAAACTTTGAACTTTAGAGTTGGTTTGAAAGATATATTAACTATGAATTAATAATTAAAGAAAAATAACCGG